CTCTAGGGGCGCTCGACCCTCAGGCTCAGTGGTTTTACTGACAACACACCTCTGACAGCATCGTACATACTCCCTAACATCTCTGTCAGTGCTCAACCAAAAGAAACGGCGTCTTGCCAGTCCCAAACTTCTGGAATGCCCCTGATGACCCGCATGATCGTGAATTCCCCTCAACACCTCCAACTGAAGTGCTTCAGGAACAACATACTGGAAACGCTTACCCTTAGACAAACGATCACGAGAGATCCTGTAGAGAATACCATTTCTCAAAACAAATTTCTCCCAATGCTTAATGTATCGAAGGACCCAAACTGATTCCTTTGCTCTTTCACGCCTGCTTGGTCTGCGATGTCTTTCCACATAATGAATAACCCTTGACAGCACACTATCAGAACTGCTTTTCACGCAGGTCACGTTCGGAATATGTAGGCTGCATCTCCAAGTCAGGAACCATCTGAGGAAGATGATCCAAAACAGACAAAGCACGAAGTCTTGCACCGTCTTCCCATGCCATTTGTGAGTCAAACACGGCCATTACATCCTCCTTATCCAAGGAAGTTCGTGCAACATTCACCGAATTACTGTGCAAAGGACCGCTGCTAGAAATACTCTGCTTTCCTTCAGACCCACAAGACCACCGAAAAGCATCCTGAACAGAGCTGGCAGAAACCTCCTGTACTTCAGACAAAAGTTTGTCATATTTCTCACATAACAGTCTAGAGCCAATGCTAGTGTTCACGAATGGAACCCTACTCAACGCGTCAGCCACAACATTCTGCGCACCCGGTACATACTTGATGTCAAAATTGTACGCCGCAAGTTTGGCCACCCACCTCTGCTCACAACAATCAAGCTTAGGTTTCGACAAAATGTGAGTGAGCGGATTGTTATCAGTCCACACTGTAAATACGTGACCTTTCAGCCAGTGGCTGAACTTTTCGCAAACCGCCCATTTCAACGCTAGAAACTCTAAACGATGTGCCGGGTAATTCCGCTGAGATGGAGAAAGCGACTTACTGGCAAATGCTATAGGTCTAGCTCTAGTGTCTCCTGCCTGAACTTGAGACAGCACAGCCCCAATGCCGTCTAAAGAAGCATCTGTCGAAAGGACAAAAGGGCGGCTAAAATCCGGATGAGCTAAAACAACTGCTTCTAGCATGGCAGTCTTAAGATTCTCAAATGCCAGCTGCGTCTCAGGTGTCCAATCAGCTAGAGTCAATTTCCTTAACGCACAGTTCCTTTTATTTGCGCAACTCCTTTTGGCTCTTTTTTTCTGACCTTTCAATAGATCGAAAAGGGGTTTGGCCACGGTTGAGTAGTTGGGCACAAAATGCTGATAATAGTTAACCATCCCAAGAAAGGATCTTATGCGTTTCTGGGATGGCGTAACTCCATCAGCCTCCATCAGATCCAAGTTAGTCATTTTGGATATACTCTCTACCTTACTTGGATCTGTTGATACACCAAACTCATCAATCACTTGTCCAAGAAATTGCACAGATTTCCTAAGGAAATGACATTTCTTGGGGGCAAGTTTCAGATTGTGCGTTCTCAACCGACCGAATACCATCTCAAGACGTCTCAATGCTGTCGTTTCGTCGGGTCCAAAAACAATCAAGTCATCTAAATAGCACAACAAACTTAGGAAGTTTTGGTCCCCAAAAATACTTGTCATCATGCGCATAAAACTCCCCGGACTATTACAAAGCCCTTGAGGAAGCCGATTGTACTCATATAGGCCCATAGGCGTTGTAAAAGCTGAGTACTTTCGGTCATCCTCATGTAAAGGCATATTGTAAAAGCCCGAGGTCAAGTCCATCGTGCTGAATAGTGAATTTCCACCTAACGCAGCCAAACAATCGGCCTGGTGAGGCAACGGATGAGCGTCTTTGAACGTCCTTTTGTTTAACCACCTGAAATCCGTACATACGCGTAAATCACCATTCTTTTTCCAAACAAGGACTAAAGGAGACGCAAACTCGCTAGTCGATTTGCGAATAATCTCCTTTTCCTCCATTTCATTCAAAACACGACGCAACACTTGATACTGACTGGGCGCCACACGTCGGTACGGAAGTCGGAAAGGTTTTGTGTCTGAAAGATGGATCCTATGAACAAATTCAGTAGCATTGCCACAATCCAAATGATGGCGTGAAAAGACATCATTGTACTGCATGATTATATCTGCCAATTTCTGTCTACAACTTTCAGACACATCACAAGAATCCAAATCAAGCCCTTCTAAACCAACTGACCTTAGTTTCTCAGCAACAGACCTCAGATCAATGGAGTTACTACCCTCTGGTTTAGTCTGTTGCGTCTGAGAAAGCAGGGTCCCATCATCCATGTCTTCGAGAGCAATACCCGGAAACAAATCGGCAATCTTGGCATTACGTCTTAGCATGACAGGTTTTTCCCAAGTATTAATCAACTTCAATGGAACCCACCTGTCCCCCCATAGGTGTGTGACAAGCCTGGCCACAAGAACACCTCTAGGTGCCGACCGCGAACTTGTAGCCTCAATCAGCACAGCACTACCTGGAGACACCTTCGTGTGTTTAGGCAACCTACCCCACACAAGATACTCGCGACCAGGCTCCAGACAGACTGCAGAATTACATCTCACAGTGCCAATTTTGTCAGGCACCCCATCACCCCTCCAGCGATTCAAGCCTGCAAGCATAGACAGGAAAGCCTCAGACATAGGATCATTACACACATTAGGAGTCGAAACTGTCTTCCAAAACAAATCACATTGCTTAGAGCATCTTATGATGTGTTTGATAACATTCGTACCAACAATGAATTCATCATGCTGCCCACTGACAATCAATGTAGGTACCAACATTTTGCATCCATAAACCTCCAGCTCAAGTGTGACAGTACATTTTGGTTTTACCCGGCTGCCTCCGCAGCCAATCAGTGTAACATCTGGGCTGCCTCTACACTGATCGCTGATTATTCCAGCATCTAACAATTTCTGTTCTGCACTCTCACTCATGGTACATGCCATGGATCCGCTGTCAAGCATTCCATCCAGGACCACTTTACCAGCCACCATGACGGGAGTGTAGAACAGACTGTCATTTCTGCAGACGACATTCGTGTTCTGAAACACAACATTCTCACCACAACAAGATTGTTTAGCAGACATGAAAATTTTTCCAGCATTTGCAATATTGACATCATTTTGGGAGTTACTATCCACACCTGTACAGCCTCCCTCAATATACAGGTCGGTTAGTTTCCCGACGGAGGCTGTGGACAGGCTGAATGAGCATGCCCCGGAGAAAAAACAACCAAAACACAACCTGTCTTTAAGCAGTGAGATTTAGTGGAATGTGCAGTGCTACCACAAACTCCACAGCCACTCGCTCTGCCTCTGTATCTGAAATTCACATTCTTCTCAGGCTTAACATTGTTACCTTGCTGTAATCTTTCCATCACCTGCTCCAACATACCCATCATACGGTTCAGGACATTTTCATCTGATTTTCCCATATCCTGTGACTTAGGAACAGTCTGATCAGAACAGCAAGCATTGCGCAAAGGGTCGTGTATGCCACCGGCCGCAGGAGTGGGACTCACATAGTTTGCAAAGCTAGCACCTGTTTCCTGAAAGTGAGACATCGGCAAACACTTATCAATATGTGCAACATCAACATTTCTCAAACCGAGAGAGCTGGCAGAAGCCAGAGAGGAGCGACGCTCTCTCTGATACTCATCCAATCTCCCCTGGACTTCTTTTGCAGTCCATTCACTGATCGCTTGTGCTTAAAGAGACCAGACAGAACAGGATCAGGGCAATATTTTACAAACATGTGAGCCACCTCTTCACTGATATTATCCATGGCCCGCCCTTGTCTACGCAGGCCTTCATCAGCTAGATCTGCTGCCTTATTGAGTCTGATCCAGTAATCTACTGCAGTCTCACTGGGCTTAGGTAGAGTCGAGTAAAAGTCGGCTAACGGAAGGCATGATGGTGCAACACTGAAATACTTCAGAAGAATAGAGTAGATTATGTCAGGGTCATTCTTGACATCAAGAGACGGGTCACTTCTTAGACTAATTCTCACAATATCCCCTGCCTTGCCCATCAATCGTGACATTATCTCATCTGCTTGATTCTCAACAGCACACTTCTGTTTTGACAGAAGAGTCCTGGTCATCTCAATCCATTCATGTACCGGAAATTTATCACTACTGTCACCTCTGAAAATTACAGGTTCTCTGTCAGTAGTGACATGTACGGTCACTTGAGAAACATCTTGTTTGGTTAAACTGTCAGAATTTACCCCTCCACTGACATGAGACTCACGGCTAGTAGTAGTCATTGTTCCACTTTCAATTATTTTGGCAGCGACAGCATCACTAATTTGGTCACCCAGCCGCCCAAACATGTCGGTTAAACAATCCAACATCTGATTATCGCAATTAACACTACGTGGGGTAGACGTGTTTCCAACATGGTACTTAACAGGTGGGTCTCCAAAAAGCAAACCACGTCCAGCACCCTGTGCATTATCGAACGCCATGCACAAAGGATTTTCCCTACTGACATTAGGCGTAGGTTCGCCAGCACAAAGACTGCTGGTCATGACACCCCTTCCACGTGGAATAAAAGGGCTCCCAGGACTGCTAACATTAAATCGTTGAACAAATTTTTCACCCATTAATGAGAGTTATGAAACAATTAAAATTCAAAAGTTACTCAGCAGTCCATAACTCGATGTCTGTAACAGTCCGAAAGCAGCAGTGACATATCAGTTGAAGATGTCCTCATTCAAAAGTCTGTACGCAAAAACAAACAAAAACATTCAAAGTCTTCATCCAAAAAAAAAAAAAAAAATGTTAAAAAAGACTTTACATTCAAAAAGATTTCCTTCAAAAAGACTGCATTCAAAAAGTACTTAAATCAACAAACTCCAGGTAAACAGCAACCTCACGGCGATCTTCTTCAAGATGATCAGGTGATCCAAAAGGTCACGGCACCAATGTAACGGATCTTGTCGCTGTCATGACTGGATCTGGTCTCTCGCTCGTATTCTGCGTTGTGATTTAACCAATTTCGCTCATTCGTTCTTCATGCACTCAGATGAACAGCAGTCAGTGGGCTCAATTTCTCAATAAATTGCAAGGACACATCGTTTTTGTTGATTGGTATTTACTGAAAAGTGAAATAAAACATCCTCTCAGTGGTGTTTTGCTGCAGACATGACATGTATCAACAGCTCGCGTTCCCCATAGCAACTGTTGAGTTACTCTAACAGTATAACCAATAATAGAACATAACACATGACCACATTTCGTATGAAACATGATGCAATAATAAAAACAAAAGCAATAATAAACACAAAAATATACATAAAAACATACCTGAAAAGTGAAATAAAACATCCTCTCAGTGGTGTTTTGCTGCAGACATAACATGTATCTAAATAAAATATAAGATAAAATTAGCAACCTCGTGGCCTTGCTAACGAGAGCACTATCGGACGGAAGTTCACAAAAGACCATAACTAATCAAATATATGTTACTACTTGAATTAAATGGTTTAAACATTGGCTAAACCAAATCACAAACACAAAATACTTGCAATCGCTAGTCATTTTGCGTCATAATCGCACAAATATTGCCAAAATGAGACAGAGCATGACCATACGCACCAACAGCTCGCGTTCCCCATAGCAACTGTTGAGTTACCCTATTTACCGTCAAACCACGCATTTTTGTCTGCAGCTCCCAAACAAACCACATGAGGGCACTATTTTAACATGAAATGAACAACTTCTGTTGAATTCAGGAGGATTCACAATAAAACTAAATACAAATCTAACTCTGTTACACATAAACATTTAAAGATTTGAGTCAGCGAAATAGATAAATCGACTCTGCAAGAATTCTGGTGTGTGTTCACGTGAAATGAAAAAAGTTCAAACGAATATTATTCTCTCCACGAGCCAAAGATAACGTTAAGTAAGAGTATAATTTAATATTGAACCAAACATGAATGACGAGTCACGCAGGTCCTGTGCTACTCCGCAGCGGTAAGACCAGAACCAGTATAAAATAGTCCGAATATAAACACTTATTATAGGTGTACCACAGTGATTCAGGATAAGACAAAGCACGATTTGGACAACTGATACATGTACCCGCTCATTATATAAACCTTTGAACATTTTGAACACAAAAAGCTAAGCACTAAAACTTTAAAACAAGACAACTTGGCCAGTCGCCCTCCTGTGGTGAATTGTGTGAATTACACTGCTGCAACTTATTTCTACAGCTGTGACTGCAATCAGAGGAAAACTTTTGAGTTACAATATTTTGTAACATTTAATAAATTGTTGGTTGCCATGTGACGCAGTAAAACATCTGGCAATTACCTTTCAAATTTTCTATAAATATATTTTGCATCCGCGATCAGGAGCGGTTCTAGGGTGAGTGGATATCTGGGGCTTAACCCAGAGAAAACCATGTATGTGTCACGATACAAGAAATAAACTTTAAATAAAATGTTTTTTTTTAACAAGGTTAATATCTCTTGCGAATTAAAATTAAAAATCACGCCACGCACCCTCTTCTTTCCTTGCTGACTCATCTCAGACATGGTTGGCAAGCTCAGCTCTATTATTGTTTTAATAAATAGCATTTACTTAACAACATGATTTTTGTGAGAATAGATACAAAGAGGTGACTAAAGAATCTCTATAATAACAACAAAAAAATCTTGACCCATTCTTCATGCACACATTACATTTTAAAGACTAATAAGACTACCTACCTTACCTTTTGTGTGTGCACCGCGCGTGCACGTCCTATTGACTGTGCTGCACAAAGTGTTTGACGATCAAAATGTATATCTGACAATCTAAAGAAAGAAATCTAATACTTCGATTAAAAGTTACAGATACCTGCTGAAGCTGTTGTATCTTGTTTTAGTAATGGCTGGGGGTGTTTTAATTCCTTTTTCTTTTTCTTTTTTCTTTTTTTTTTTGGAAGAACTTTGATAGCATCCATTTTAGTCGATCATTACTAACTTCTTGCACATCAACAAACACCTGGCTCCAAAATATTTAATTTCATTGGCTGTATCGTACAAGACCGCCGAGCTTCTCATCGATGGTTGGCCAGTTTACATGTCAGTCAGAAGCACTAGCCTGAGTGGGCGGTTCTTGTCGGTTGTGAATGACAATGCGTATGTTGACGGACGCTGTGATACGAGAGTCGAGAAATATACATTTAATTAATTAAATTCTCTCAGTGATGGTGTGTACAATGCAAGGAAATAAAAACATTCGGGGCTTTACTGAAAACAGCCCCCTTAGCCCACCCCTAGCGCCGCCCCTGTCTGCGATATTCTGTTGAAAATGGAGTTTAATCGCCCTCCTGTGGTGAACTGTGTGAATTACACTGCTGAACCGTATTCAGAGCGCCAGAGGAAAACTGCACTAAACTCTGCACTTACTTTGCATTTATTTCACATTGTTTGATAAATTATTAATTTAAAGCGACATAGTAAAAAAAAATCTAGAAAAGTTCGCTTTTGTTTAATGGAAATATATTCTTATATCTGTAATAAGAATTATTCTCATAAAGCCCCGTTGATTCAGACGTTTTAATAACAGAAAAAAATATAAGCGCAACAGAATAAAAAATGCAGCGAGAACATTTTAATGTTATTTTGTGTTGAATGTAACAAAATATGGACTTTAATCCACGATGTAGCCTAGTATTTGTTGGCTTATTTTAGAATGCTCTAAATTACAGTTTTTCCCCATTCATTTCTATGGGTGCCCATTTTTGACCCAAATACAAGATTAAGAAGGTTTTTTTCCACCCACTTAACATTGTAGAAATGAGTCAAAAAAAAAAAAAAATTTTGTGTGTTCAGGAGGCAAACTTAGGAAAAGCAGCAAAGTCTTGTACCGCTCAGATCAAGGGAAGTATTTCTTAAAAATAAATCAAAACTATTTTGCCCACATTTGTCCAGAATACGGTTTTAGGGTTAAGACGAACATTTGTTTTTATCTTGACGCCCTCCTGTGGTGAACTGTGTGAATTACACTGCTGTCATTTTACCCATAAACATTTAAAGATTTGAGTCAGCAAAATAGATAAATCGACTCTGCAAGAATTCTGGTGTGTGTTCACGTGAAATGAAAAAAGTTCAAACGAATATTATTCTCTCCACGAGCCAAAGATAACGTTAAGAGTATAATTTAATATTGAACCAAACATGAATGACGAGTCACGCAGGTCCTGTGCTACTCCGCAGCGGTAAGACCAGAACCAGTATAAAATAGTCCGAATACAAACACTTATTATAGGTGTACATTGATAGTGATCATAATTTAGTCTTAATTAATAGGAAAACTAAGGTTCCCAAATCAGGGCAGAAAATGATTGTTAAAAGGATATTTAAATATTTTAATGAAAATGAATATTGTGAAGAAGTTAGAAATGTGGATTGGTCAAGGATATTAGTTGAAGATGATCCTAATAGAGCCTTAGAGGCTTTCACTAGTTCAATAATGCCAATCATGGATAAATATGCGCCTTTGAGACGAATTACTGTGAGAACTATTGCTGCTCCTTGGGTAGATATAGAACTCAAGGACCACATTAAGTTGAGAAATGAAGCAAAGACTGAAGCCATCTCATCAGGAAACAGCACCTTGTGGAATAAGTATAGAAAATTTAGAAATTTTGTTACCAAATTAAACAGATCAAAAAAAAGAAAGTATTATGAAAATAAGATTATAGAGGCTAAATCTGATAGTAATAAAATTTGGAGTATGCTTAATACAATAATGGGAAGAAAAACTGAAATAGTGTCATCTTTTATTGAAGTTGACGGATCTTTTTTGACTAAACCTAGTGATATTGCAAATTATTTTAGTTCTTATTTCAAGAATAAAGTTTCAACGCTAAGACAGGGTATGAATATGAAACAGAAAAGTTATTTTAATAATGGTACAATATGTAATAGAATAATGGGAAATAAAACATGCAAATTTGTTTTTGAAAGAGTAAGTTCTACTACTGTTGAGAATTTATTAAAAGGAATTAAAGAGAAACCACCAGGTGCTGATAACTTTGATGCAAAATTACTGAAATTTGTAGCTGATGTAATTGCTATGCCTATAAGCTATATAATAAATCTAAGTCTAGAAAAAGGTATCTGTCCTTCAAGTTGGAAAGTAGCTAAAATTATGCCACTCATAAAGAATAATAAAGAACCACTTTCGGGTAAAAATAGTAGACCTATTAGTATCTTATCTATTCTGAGCAAGATTATGGAAAGAATTGTTTTTGAACAAACTAGTTTGTATTTTAGTAGAAATGAGTTACATTCTGTTTATCAGCATGCATATAGAAAGGAGCACTCTACAACAACAGCTTTAGCTCAGATTACTGATGACTGGATAAAAGATATTGATAATAAAAAGATTGTTGGAACAGTATTGTTAGATTTGAGTGCTGCTTTTGATGTACTTGATCATGAAATTTTGTTGGATAAGTTAATTTGTTATGGTTTTGAAAAATCTGCTATTGAATGGTTTCAAAGTTATCTTGCCAATAGGGAATTTACTGTTACATTTAATGGGAGTGATTCTGATATACAGACTCTTGATTGTGGTGTGCCACAAGGGAGCTGACTTGGGCCGCTTTTATTTTCTATCTTCACAAATGATTTGCCTTTTGTTTTAGAGAATTCCACCATCGCTCTATATGCAGATGACTCCACAATTTATACGTCCGCGCAAACCCTAGTTGAACTTAATAGTATTTTACAGGCTGAACTGAGACTAATTGAAAATTGGTTTAGGGACAATAATATGGTGATTAATGCAGAGAAAAGTTTTATTATTTGTTAGACGATTCGCCTGTGTTGAGTCTGTGTGTGTGGGGGGGATTGTAATAGAACAGGTTACGGAGGTAAAGCTGCTCGGTGTGACTGTTGATAACTTGTTAAGTTGGAACAGTCATATAAATCAAATACTATTGAAAATGGGCAGGAGTCTTGCGGTTGTTAAGCATTGTAAAAAATTTATTCCAATTAGAGTGATTAAGTTACTTGTTGAATCATTAGTGTTATCTCATTTGGACTATTGTTCAATGATTTGGTCAAGTACGACTGATATGAATTTAAGAAAATTGCAAGTTGCTCAGAATAAAGCAGCTCGGGTAGTCTTAGGTTGCCCTTTTAGGACTAGTGTTAGATAATTGAATACTAGGTTAGCTTGGTTAAGTGTGAAATGTAGACTTAATTATAGTATTGTTAACTTTGTTAGGAAAATTATTGTTACAAAAATGCCAGTAATACTACACAGCAGACTGTCTCCTTTTAGTACTGTACATCACTATTCCACTCGTCAGTCAACTGGGAGTCACTTTTTGTTACCTCTGTGTCGAACTAATTTTGGACAAAAGATGGTGCTGTATAGAGCAATGGTGGCATGGAATTCTCTTCCTCAGTTTTTGAATTTGGGAATGAATACAATGAATTTTCGTAAAAGATTAAGACTTTATTTATTTACATTTGAATAATTTTTGTGCTGTTCCTGATAATGAAGGTTGGAAAAAACATTGTGATATCTATGAACCCTAAGAGTATGGAGACTACTGTGTATTGTGTTAAGGTATCATGTAGAGCTGTTTTTTGTGTTTCTTAGTACGTTGTAGTGTTGTTATGTATGTATGTGTACACTCTTTCTTGTCTACAAAATGTATGGTTTTATGTTAAGAATATTCTTTGTGTTGAAGTAT